GCTGTGCAGTAGCGGAGTATATGCCAAGGCGGTGAGGAGAGCGCAAGAGGGGAGCGGTGTGGGGGTGCGAGCAGTATACATAGTGTAGGCGGCCAGTTGGAGGCAGGAGGAGGGTGTGCGTGGTACTCAAGCGCATGGCGGGAATGCATGGTTGTTGTTCTGATGTGTGTTGCGTCAGGACGCGAGTTGGCAGCAGGTGACGGGTGGGTATACGCGGGAGGGGTGATCTTGTGATGTTTGAGCAAGTGTACGTGGCATAGAGGAGTGTATCCTTCGTATGTAACTCCGTCAGAAAGTTTGTGTATTTTTTCGTAGTGTCCGAGTTTTTGTTTTTCTCTGGGTTTGTCCTTATTGCTAAGATTTGGTGTGGCTATGGCGGTGCTAGCGCCGTGTAGGGAGTAGGGATCGTGGAGTTTTTGTCTTGATATGGCCGTGACGTTTCGTTTATCGTGTCGGATGCGCGGCACCTTGTCCTTTTTGTCTGTCGTATTGCTAGGTGCCGAGCTCAGTGATGCATGGCATCTTGCTGCAAACAATTTTTTTTTGGGGGGGGGGTTGGGGGGTTTTAATTAAGGGAGGCCATGCTGCGTGCTTTAGTCTAGTGTACAGTTGTAGGGTGTTGGTTTTCGAAAATCGCAGGGACCGTGGGGTGTGGCCTGGTTTACCCAATATAGTATCAGCGGTGGGCCGCTGAGGGGTGCTTTGGCAGAGGCATAGAGCCGGTGTACGAGTATGTGCAGTTTTTGTTTTTTAATTGGTGCAGGGCGTCATGCACCCATAACTTATTTCTTTCCTTATGCGCCTTTTGTTTATATGTGATGCAAGTGCGTGTTGTAGTTGGATTGTGACCCGTTTACCTGGGATAGGCAAGGTAGTTGGTGGATTGTTCCTATATCAGCGGGCCATTGCTGTGCTTATCAGGTTTGTACGATGGGCAGTGCATAAGTGGGTGTGTATGTGGTGGTTAATTTAAGTATCCTGGCTTTATTTATATTTGCAGCTCAGTGGTGTTTATTAATATTCAATATTTCCTTAGAAAAAGGATTTTTACTGTTGCTTGTTTTTATATCCTCCTTCTTTCCCTCTATTTATAAAAATGATAGACCTTTTTATTTTTGAAGTTTTTAATTAATTTAATTACCATTATTTTGCAAGAAAAAAAATGGACTATATATAATTAAATTGATATGCATGTATGTGTGTGTGTGTGTGTGTGTGTGTGTGTGTGTGTGTGTGTGTGTGTGTGTGTGTGTGTACCGGGGCGAGGGATGGGAGGACCTCCCCCACCAATCAATCAATCAATCAAGCAAGCAAGCAAGATTTATTTTTTTTCCTTTTTGTAATTTTTTTTTTCACACACAAAAAACGACCCCCCCGAAAATTATTTTCTTTTACTTTTTTTTGTTCGAGGGGGTAGGGTCGGGGTTCCGGAACCGCAATCCAAAGCCCCCACTCCCAACCCCCTCTCCCCTCGGCCGTGCCCGCAGTGACCGCGGCCGCGGGTGTTTCAAAGTCGCGCGGCCCTTGGGGCAGTCGTTCTGGAATCGGGTTTCAGGCTTCGGTGTCAGACTCGTTGAGCCCGCGCGGAAGACCATGCGCGGTGTTGCTTGGGGTCGGGCGGGCCGAGGGAACCCAGGTTCGAAAGTTAGCGGGGAGCGCGCCCCGCGTTCCGCGTGAGTTCTGGGAATTGAGCTGCACGTTCGTATCCCAGGACTAGTCTTCGCCAGGAACATGAATCCCCTTGACGACACCAGGGGCAGTTAAACCGAGGCCGCCATGTGGCGTGTGTCGCGGACCAGCACAACACAGTCAGATCAGTGTAGGGCAATACCAGGGGAGGGGAGGAGAACCGATCGATCAACATAAACCCACTCCCTCCGATATGGCAGGCTCTGGCGAGGTTATACAAATGAACGTGCTCGGTCGTCGCAGAGTGCTCCGCACGTTCACGCCACAATATACGTTGTCGTCGTCTGCAATGTGGAAGGTCGGCAGCACGCTGCGAGGGACCCATACGAAGGTCGAGCACAGGCAGGGACCTGCGCTCACGTCCGTTGAGACGAACGCTGGCTCCATGCGACGATCGACGAAATCCTGCCTTGCTCTCTCTCTCTCTCTCTCTCTCTCTCTCTCTCTCTCTCTCTCTCTCTCTCTCTCTCTCTCTCTCTGCGTCAACCTGGATGTTGGGCCTGGGATCCAGGGGTTGCTGAGTCGCATAGATATCAGCCGCGTCGCGGAGACGCGAACGACTGATCACTCTGGTTATCGAGTGAAATTGCGAGGCTAAGGCCCACCCGTTTTGCTCGGATGGGAGGGGGAGCGAGAAGAGGTGGGCGCATGATCCCGCGCATACACGTGGCATTAAGGGCGAAAAAGGGGCTCAAGGAAGAGAGGAGGGACCAATACACTCATGCACTCATGCAAATGGTCGACATCCAGCAATCCCTATCATCGCACCTGCACACACACATAATCAAAAGACCCTCCTGGACAATGAGACGTTCAACATCCATAGACTGTCATACCACAGACTGTCACACACACATAATCACAAGAACCTCCTGGACAATGAGACATTCAACATCCATAGACTGTCATACCACAACATGCATACAACAAAATACCCACACATCACGACCTTGCACACATCATACTCGGACAAAGCAGCAATGGAGATGAAAGCGAGTTCTTAATACACAAAATTTCTCATACGGCTGGCCGCCCTGGGCCCAACCCCCAATCCGCCAGAACCACCAACAACCATAGCCACAAGGCCCTGCCGGTGTCGACGTCCGGTCTCCACCACCGCTCAGTCCCTCCAACTGTCTTACCCCAGCCGAGATCAAAGAGAGGGAGAGGAAGGGGTTGCAAGAATTTATAGCGCGGAAGGTGGCGGAGAGTTAGCGCGAGATGAGGGCAGTCTGGGGTGTAGACGAGCAGGGCAGAAGAAGGGCTGGGGTTCCAGAAGGATCGAAGGAGGCAAGTGGAACGATCTGTGTGATTGGGGTGGTCGTTCAAGTGGTACGCGCCTTCCGCTCTCACCACATTGATCCGACCAACCTAGTTACACACCAATTGTTCGCAATGATGGGTAAGGAGAGGATTGGGCCTCACTCAGGGGAAGACGAAGAGGCAGGCAAGAAGAAAATGCGCGGCAAGAAGGAAATGCGCGGCAAGAAGGAAATGCGTGGCAAGAAGGGAAGATGGCGCGGGGATGCAAAGCGGGAGAACGGGTTTACAAGGTGCCCAAAAATTAGAAAAACAGCCGTGCACGCAAGAATTCAAAATTCCTACCCACACTAATTCCTAACTGTTTCTTGGATTTCTCGGCGAGGAAAGCTAACCGGCCACGTGAGAAAGTCATCGGGGCACTCCCGAAAAAGAAAAATAAGTTTTTGTTCCGTCAGTCCTCTCTATTCAAGAAACGAGAGAAGAAAAAAGAGAAAAGAAAAAAAAAAGAAAAAAAGAAAAGAAAAAACAAACCCCATTCTTCCCAATCACCTAGAGCCCGTACTCCGAGACTACGAGCACTTTCGCACGATCTCTGCGCTTGTGCTAGGCTGAACGCAGTCTGACCCTGAGATCAGAACTGCATTGCGGTCTTCCGGCCGGAATTACACGCAAGCCACCGATTAACACGCTCAAGCTACCGAGCGATGGCGGCATCTSACCCTCCRGCAACACCGACCATGAATGCTCAGGTWTGATCTCYTAACTCTTWCTTCCTTGCCTAACCCCTCTTGATGATGCCCATGCATTCCCTGCCCCCCATCCCCATACCATCCCCCGTCCTAACAGGAGCCAATACTAAGCTAACCCCTCTGATGAGCCGCTATGGGTGCTATGCGGCGAAAAGCGCGCTTTAGGGCGTGCACCCCCCCTTCGGCTTTCTAATCTTGCCGACTCTAACCCTGCTAACATACTAACTGCTCCTCACCTACCCCTGCCTACCACCCAAAACCCCCTTGGTGCATGTTGAGTTACTCTCCGAACACGGAGATTACCTAAAAGCGTGATACCTTCCTGTCATTAAAACCTTTTGTCTCTTTCCCATTCTGAATGGGATGGCCGTGTTCTTACACACCCATCGCACACACACCCGGATGCTTATATCCAGTTGCCAAGCTGGGGGTAGACTCCCCCACTGAGGGACTTTAACCTTTAACATTGCGCAGGATGCTCCACGCACTTATTCCAACTACAACGTCACCACTAAGTATCGCCCACCCTGTCTTACAATTGTCTTCCTGACATTGCGATTAACCAGCACACTACTCCATGTTGCGCCCATATCTTGCTTACATCCAACACGGCACCCCATAGCCACCTCCTGCGCTAAAACAACCGAAAACTCCTCCCTCGCTACCACTCCTACCCCATGACGGTTGCCACACCCCAACCCTGGCCACATTCGACGCCTCAATGGCGTAAACCCCGTACAAATCCGCCCTGTACACGCATCTTAAACCTCAGAAAAAATCTCAGAGAAATCAGGACACCTTACCCACACTTATTTTCAAATATAGCTCATTAGCAAACAGTTCGGTTGTCCGGCAACTCTCGCGTACCCTGCTAAAAGTCTGCACCCCTCGGTCATTTCGTCCCTTGCTTTTTGTCTGTCGTTGATTGATTACCATGTTGGGATGACAATCAGTTACTTCACCCAAGTGCACACGCCACTATTGATTGATTATATGCCTTGTTTTGGTTGTTGCTTTATGTTTTGGCTTATCCTAGTACTAGGACGTTGAATCAATCTGTACATTGCACGGGTTACTTGTACCTTTCTCACATCTTACTCTCGAGGTTGATGTGTTGTTCCAATTAATTGCCGTACTACTATACGATTGCATGAAAGTATTAATAATTGCCTCGTTGCCCTTCCATCTAACTTTACAAATATCCTGCGGTATGTACTGCACTCAAATCATGCGAAAAATATGCATGTATGCCTGAAAGACTAGTCACGTTCTGGGTTGGTATCTTCGCGCCACCAACTTCGTGATTAAACCACGGATAAAATGACATTCGGTTGCTTTCTAAGTGATGAATAGATGACCGATTAAACATAACACGCCGATGCGCGTGGTGTGAAATTGATAAAATAAGAATGACATTGAGGGAACCCCGCCCAAAATACACTGGTACAAGTACAGTACGGTTCCTTTACCTTGGATATATACAAGGACTATACGCACAGTATAGGGAAGACCACGGCATCCACACGCTACACCCGTTCTAATAAACTAATCTTACAACCGCTCCCTTGAATAACCACCCCCCTCGACTGACCCGCTCCTTCCCTCCATGCCCCACCTCACCTCCCACTCCGTCCCTCAGAATATTTTTCTTCACTCATGCATTGCCATCCCGCTCGCTGTCACATTCCTGTCTCGCACACCTTATTTGTACGGTGCTCTGCTAATACGTCTCGTCTCCTGCTCTCATCTCACTATCCCTCCCACCGAATCCGCCGATAACATTCCTGCATTACGTGATCGGGTTAGTCTTAGTGAGACGTACATTGCAATACTACTTATATACCTCCTGCCCCCCGACTGACCTCATACGTAATAGATACTATCCGTACCCACTGATCGGTCCGTCTTAAACTGCATAATGACTACCGAAAACGCTCCTGTTACTGGCAAGATAATTAGCCACTTTTCACATTACGGTCCAAAAAAACACCCAATAAGCAGTAAGGGGTGGTTTTCGCATGTGCTTATAAATTAGCCTTTGAATTTGCGTCAAGTCTTAGCTGTGTAACTAATTAGAAAGGTAGCAAAAAATGACATACGGGGTTCCGCAACGCTACTGGTATAATAATCAAAGAAAGATCCAATCTAACTTCATGATTAGTGATGACACATATAATACTACGAGAACCACATACTGTTAAAATAGCTTTGGACTATAAAATAATACCCGCTTATCGGTCTCCCTATACGCGCCGCTTGCACCTCTTCGCCATCATAACGTATCCCCTCTGACTTGGTTATGCACGGGACCTCCTCTGCAGGACATAATCATTGAAACGCGACAAAATCTTCATACACAAATTTGATGCTGACTGCTATATACGTGACGACTAACACCGCTATGGCTAATGGGTTGTTCCAATCACGAAGAAACGGGAATTGATCAATTCACTTGATACAAGCGCAGGTATGTATTTTCGCGCTATCGGTGCTTTGGGGGAGATCCACACAAGACGCAAAACCGTGTGCACCGTAGCATATTGCTTCGGTAAACAAAACCCCGCTCAAAACAACCCCCTTACAATGCTTGGACATAATTGCTAAAACAAGATAATGGTATTACATGTAATTGCGACAAATGTCAGTATTGCCATGATAAGGATGGATCACATAAACAAGCATTAGTATATGTGTCCGGTTCGCTGGTAAAAATCCAGGTAGACATAAACCACTCCATACACGACGCACGCGCATTATTTTTGCCTGCTTTTGACACTCTCACAAATTCTCGAACGATTTCCTGGATTTCTGATTCTGATAAACCATTGCCTGGTGTTTTGATAACCCACACGCACCTATGACAAATATTTGTCTCCCATGAACACGTGGCATGCACTCCAAACATAAACTAGGCCGACAGCATACACCACGCCCAATCCACACACGCATACTCAAACAAATCGAAATCAACATAGCTTTGTCAAGACAACCCCAGGATGAGTTATGCTTAACTAGTGTGGTTGTTTTGCAAGGACTATCGGATAATAAAACAAACCCCCTGCAAACACATATCTGCATCACACGCACTCACAGATATTCAGAACAAAAATACCACTGCAAGAAAATGCTCCCCCTTTCCCTTTCTCCCCTCCATTTCAAAAGCAATATGCTAGAAATGTTCATGAAATGACACACTATAGAATTGCGACTTGCCAAGCATATACCCCTATATATCCCCCTCTCCCCCTCTCTCTCTCTCTCTCTCTCTCTCTCTCTCTCTTTCTCTCTCTCTCTCTCTCTCTCTCTCTCTCTCTCTCTCTCTCTCTCTCTCTCTCTCCCTCTCGGTCGCGCGCTCTCTTTCGCTTGCTCTCAGCGATTCCTCCCCCACACTAAAACAACATCTGAACCCCAACATCTTCCCCCAACCCCACTTACGCAAACTCTCCAAGTTTTTCATCTCTATAATTGTGCCCCCCTATATCACACCGAGACTCCATGTCACTCCTGACGCTTTATCGTACAAATTGGATACTGCTGACATGATCCTCGGAAAAGTCACACCGCCCCCTCGCTCTTTTTTCCTACCACCACCCACTCCATGGGCAGCCTCAATGCCCCCAAATATATTTCTATAACAAGAGATGCACCCACACCGACTCGCCGAACCACGCAATCATCAAAATAATACCGAGTAACACCCGCGATAACCATAAAAAACAATTTCGCGATTGTCACTTAGTCCCCACTAATGCGCCCATGATGATTGCCACGTGGCAGTCCAGGCCTGCTTCAACGCCCCGATGAATACTCCTCTATCATACCACTTATCTCACGTGAGGCAAAGGGAGCACCCACGAATGCCTGCCAAACCGAGCAATCAACAATATAAGACCGATGCTCAACCGCGATCACCGTCACTATGACCTCCAGGATCCTCTGAAGTATGCCCTCATCCCCTGATTGCTCGTCTATAGGCACCCCCTCTCCAAACGGTTCCAACTCAAAACCAATGGACACTATTGACCATTGAAGATAACTAAATCTTGCCCTCACACAAATCTTGATACGACCGTTCACACTCACATCATACGTCCACGAGACATTCCGACCTTCTGGAGCCTTCCCCCACCCCTCCCCTCCCTTCTGACTATCGCGAAGATGCTGAAGCTCCACCACCATGATTGTGTCTTGGTGCATATATCCATGAAAAACAGTGACGAACTCCATCCCGCGCTACCCAAAACGCCCGGATACGCAAAGCACCCTCCCCAACGGTAGCCCAAAGCACGACAAGGAAGTTTGCACAAATTCACTCTCCTCCCCTCCCCCCAATTCTCTCGCCTCCTTACGCACTCCACTCTTGACCCGATCTTACTCTACTCCGTCTTAGTCATGCACTTTCTAACATCTCCGCCTGTATGAAGACGCAGGCAAACTCGCTGCCTAAGGCCTGCTCTGGTCTGCACTATATAATGCATCCTGGCAGTCACCGGCATCCGCATGCTAAAAACCATGACCCCATATCGAACTATACAACCAAACCTCACCCCTCGGTACCATTTAAAAAAAAAAAAAAACACTAGCTGCAATTGTCTCCCCCAAACCACAGCGACCACCAATCCATTATAAAAATGTGCATCACACCCGTCAGATCACTACTTCGCTGAGGCTGTGTTATGCTAGATGTTGGACCCCGACAATACCAATAACAAATGAACTATAATGTAACATAGGATCACCGCCACCCGTGCTACCCCCATAAAAACAACCCGCTGAAAGTCCCTAAAACTAAGAAACCCCATGTACACCGTACTCCTGACTAATAATGCGCTTAACACTTACGGCCCCCCACACACACCTTTTTTATAATAATAAAATAAGATTGGTTCCTTGGCTAAGTCCTGACGAAACCTTCCTTGATCACACACAACGCCAATAATACTAACCCCATGACTCGCAGCACCAATACTCCCCAACAATGCATTATGGAAGCCTCCCTCAAACTATGCAGAATGTTATATCATGGCAACACCCTTGAAGCCCCCACAATACCTATAATAATACCCCCTATATAAACCAGTCCTCCCCCCACAAATACCGCAACATAACAAACCAATAGCTATGCGCCATATGATTACATTGCAACACAGAATACCCGTACTAATCCCCATAAAAGTAAACCTCACTAAACGACGCTTAACAAACCCACGTCAGGCCAGACTGACAATATACTTAAAACACCGGATTAGCTAAATATTAAATGAATAATATACAGTATAAAATAATTAAAAAAATAAAAATAAAATATTAAATTTAAAATTGTCCTTCAATTGACAATGCTTCCCCAATCCATCACCGATACGCGTGCAGCAATACCCCTGCCTAAAGCAAAATAACCTCCTAAGCTAGACATGAAAACTCCCTTTACTGTCCGAACACTATAACATCTACTAAACTAACCTCATGACTCGCATGTCACGTGTGCAGGACCAAGACAGTATTCTAATGGGTTGGCACCCTGAACTGGTCACCAGCGTTAGACCATTCTCCATGCTCAAACCGCCCATCGTGCACTGTCAGATAGCCATGCTGGCTATACCTGCCGACGTACTGCTGCAAGTGCATGAGGCTACAAATGGGCAAGCACTTTTCCTGATAGAAGACATGTCCTTTAGCGACTGGGCTTCTCTGGTCCCTGTCATGCAGACTAGACCCCAGGACCTATCGGACAAGATCAAGGAATTGGCCTCCAACATTGCGGACGTCTGCAAGAAGGCCGCTATTGAGAACAAAGAACTCAACCTCATCGTCGCAAAGGCCAAAAAGGTGATCCTTGGCCTCCACGGCTATGACACGACGCATCTAGACACTGCCGGCTGGGTATCCACTAACGATACTGCAGACACCTTCACCGACAACTACATCAGCAGCATCGCCCTTACGCCCGCCGAGCTGGAATACTTCAAACAGAAGGAGGTCATGAGACGGCAATCTGCACATCTTGACATCTCCTCTTCTGCTAGGGACACCAGCCACAAGTTCGCGAAGAACAGTCCATTCCTTCCGTTGGCTTCAAGCACCTGGACGGAGAAAGCGATGCAGCGTGTCCATAACCGATCATGGAAATTGGATACCTTCAACTACACTGCACCTATCAGTGTCAATGCATACATGGCCCTTGCTGACCTAACCGCCGCGGATATCGACAACTGCCATACCGCAGCCAGGAATGCGACCATTTACTTCCCCGCCGGAAGGGCCGGACTTGACGCAGACTTTCCTCCGATCTCGAGCCTTGAAAAAGGCAAATGTTCCCAAAGACCGCTGCTGCACCAGAAGGGGATCCCCAAGTTCCCGGCAGACCTGCTGGAACTGAAGAAGCTCTGGAACGGAGGCAGGCCTTTCCTCAAATGCCCCTGCCCAGGCTGCGAAGCAAACTTCACATGGCTGGACCACATGATCTGGTACATCATCGGCAACCTGGACAAGTTGGACCCGCTTGCGCCATCTGACAAGATCAGGATGCTGGAATTCCAAGCCCTGTTACGGACCTCCTGGAAGAAACCCGTTCTGGCACAGATCACATTCACCTTCATGAGGGAGTACATGCTGAAGATTCTGCACCTCGTCACAGAGAACAGGAACATCACTCCAGAAGAAATCCTCGGCTTTGAAGACTTCAAAAATGTGCCTTTCGTACGAAAGTTCACCGCCGCCTTGCTCCCAAATGCAGAAGGGCTGCTCGCACAGACGCCCAGCAGGAGAAACGGCAGCATCGACTTCGAAGACAATTCACTTCGCAGATGTCGACAAATGCGACTCGGGACACCCAGCAGCGGTCCCCGCACCTCAGCTAACACACTTACTGGCACTCCGCAGCAAGCGCAAACCCCAACCACAGACGCTGCCGCAATACGCACGCCAGCTCATCCCACTACACACAGTACACCCAATATCCTCTCACCGACTAACATACCTGGCACACTTGCTGACGCATCCGCACGAACTAACCATGTCCCTGCACAAGCACAACCCCCACGGTCTAGCCACGTGCCAGTACAGGCACATGCCCCCGCCACCCTGCCGCACCCCACCATGCCTAACCGCAACATGCTCGCACAGCAACACAATCACATGCTCCCACAGTCTGCAAGAAACACGAACCAGAACACACCACTCCACCCGCAACCAAATATACAAGACAACACACGACCGCCTCCCACCATCGCACCCCCGACTCACCCCCAGGCAGCAACACAAAACACATCCCCCGCGCAACCCAACATGTTCACCTTCGCCGCTGCACAATTAGCCGCCAGGAATTCTGCCGCACTTCCCCCAAACATCAGACAACCCACTCCTCTTAATGCCTCAAATGTCCTCACCAGCACACGTCCTACACAGCCTGCCACTAACACCCTGTCGGCACTTACGCCTCCCCACCTCGCTAGCGCTACCACTGCCTCCCCATTTATCCCCAACCCTGATGCAGAAGCTCGGAGACGAGCACTCCGTAGGGAACAGCTACTGAACATAGCTATGAACCCGCTTCCTGTACCGGCGAAAAATAACCCCCGCAGAGGCAACAAAACCTGCAAATCAATCTCCACCCAAGGCAACAAGCGCGCAACGAGGCAAGGAAGACGAAACCTGCCACAATATGACGGCCTCCAACCTGACATGTTTGACGTGTTCAGTGCACAGGCACAACGACTGCATGTCCCCGCAGCACCACAAATCCCCCC